ATGAGCATTGGTATTTAGATGATAAGGAGATTGAAACTGTAAATCATTATAAATATTAAGGGGTATTTTTTACACCAACATTATATTAGGACGATTCATTATCCCAACAGACAAGGAAAGCTTCGGGAATGGTTATTTCTTTTGTAAACAGGTATAACGTTAGTATCAAAGATGTCTTATTTTTATATGACAGGATGATTTTGCCTATATTATGTTATGGGGCAGCAGTGTGGGGATGCGAACGTAAGGATGCAATAGAAAAATGTCAACTCAGATTTCTCAAGGCAATACTACACGTAAGCTCATCCACTAGTAACCATGCTGTTTATGGCGAACTTGGCCGATTCCCTTTACACATTTATTTTTTCTGTAATGTCATCCAATATTGGTTAAAAAATAATATATTTACCTGATTCAAGATACCCAAAGGCATGCTATGATATGCTGTTACAGCTTCATAACGCTGGAAGGACAACATGGGCTTCGCAAGTCAGCAATTTATTGAATGTATATGGGTATGGCTATGTATGGGATCAACAAGGTGTTACTAATGTTAAAGGTTTCTTATATTCGTTTAAACAAAGATTACAAGATTGTTGTAAACAGGAATGGTCAGATATCATACATGATAGCCCAAAGTTAGAAAATTATAGTTTAATTAAGACTAATCTAGAATAAGAGTTATATCTTAAGGTAGTCAGAAATAAAAGTCATAGAATATCGCTTACTAAATTCAGATGTTCAAACCATGACCTTGCAATTGAAACTGGTAGGTGGCAAAATAAAGATAAGAATAACAGAATATGTGTATATTGTAAAAATCACCAAGTTATAGTGATTGAAGACGAAATCCACTCATTAATAGAATGTAAATTGTATGATAATATAAGAAATGAATTACTTCCTGATGTCAAAGTGTATTTAAGCAGGGGAGAATCTAGGGTAAATGTCTTTAAATATGTTATGTCTAACCAAACTTGTATGAATAATTTAGCATCGTTTTTGTATAAATCCTATATAGTCAGAAAGAGTTATCCTTAGTTTTGAATATTTATTATTATAATTATTGTACATAACGTTTTGTTGGATTTGTATATAACATATTTCTTCATATTTAAAGTTATTGTTTTATATTGTGAAATTTGTACTTTGGCTGGAGGCCTTATTTACTGACATAAACATTACATTACATTAACGATTCGAAACGTTAAACGAAACCCGAAATCCAAAACAACATTTGTTGGTTTCAGGTTCGACATTTTTTGACAAACAGCTAATCAGTAAGGCAAGGTCTTGGTCTGCGATTTTTTTCGCCAAGAAGAGTCTTGCCGCAGTTTTGCTGGCCGGCTAAGGGCACACACGAGGAGACAAATAATGGATGGTGACACTCTGTCTTGCGATACACGCGAGATTTTACTCAAGATTGCGGAGTCGGCGACAAAAATCGGCGATCAAGACTGTTCGTGTGTCTGCACCCAAATAGTGTCCACATCTCACCGGCGAAATTTAGGCCTTCAAATTCATGTGTTTTTGAAAGTTAAAATGACGACTCGTCTTTTCAAAAGACTTTGCCCTATTTTGAGAGTGCCTAGATTGAGGTATTCTCGAAGGATTTGTGCTATTTTTGTACATTTCTACTACTTTAGAAGACTTATTTAGGCCAAATCAGTCCCCGAAAATGGCGAATCTGCCCCTACTTGGTTTCAGCTAATGAACTTTTTACACGAGGAAGTAGGTAGGCCTATTTCATTATGAAAGTGGTATAAGGAGCCTAGAAGAGTAAGAATGCCCCGCGTGACACAACGCTCGCCATTGTTGCTCAACATTAACAACAAACAAGAAGGCAAAAACAAAAAAAATCGAATGACTTCTGTCAATTTAAATAGTTAAAGATAGCTTGTCAGGCAAGGTAATATACGCCCAATGGCAGTTTTGACTTTTATACGCCCACACATTAATGTGGGCGTATATAGTCGTCGCCTCTGTCTGTCCGTCCGTCCGTCCCTCTGTCTGTCTATCCACAATTGTTTCTTGATGGATTTTGACGAATAGGATGAACCCTATTGAAAATCAGACGAATCGGAAAATATTTACCATGAGTTATTGCCCTTGTTCTTGAATTGTTTGTGGACACGATAGAGAGCTGGTTTCTTGACGGATTTTGACGAAACTTGGTGTGAGTGTTTGTAATCATCCAAGGATGAACCCCATTGAAAATCAGACAAATCGAAAAAAATCGAAAAATATTTACTATGAGTTATTGCCTTTGTTCTTGAATTGTTTGTGGACACGATAGAGAGCTGGCTTCTTGATGGATTTGGACGAAACTTGGTGTGAGTGTTTTAATCACCCAACTGTCTTAACACAAAGATTTGCCACTTGCTGTCACTCAAAAGATTCAATTCTATATGGATTAGAAGAAACTTGACATGTTAAATTAATCCCACTTGAATAAATAAGCTGTAAACAAAACCCATGAAATATGAAAATTTCACTCTCAGAACCATTCATTTACTGATAACTCTTGTCAACCTCCCGGACAATTTAAATAACCTGCCATTACAAATCAGGGCGTATTAAAAACGACACTCTTTCGGCCATTTAAATGAAACATGACCCCCCTCCCCCACCTAATGGTGTCGGTTCTGTTCCATGTGGAGGTTCTATAGGTGTTGTAGGCACTTGTTCGAACTTACGGAAGTACTTTCTTGCATCGATAAAAACATTATATACCTAATTTCTCATTTTATAAAAATGTGATGTTCAATATGTTGCCGAAACTCAAAACGCGTTGAGTACTCGTCTTAGCGGTCATCGCTTCGATATACTCCATAAGAAAGAATGACCGATTGCAAATCATTTCAATTTACCCAATCATTCCATTGAAGATCTTCTAGTTATGCCTATAGAAAAAGTACCTGTCTCGACACTGATCAAACCAAAAACCAAGCGAGTTTTTGGATAGACCAACTACAAACAGTCATACCTAACGGCCTAAATATCCAATATGACAACAAAATCACACCTTTCATTGCCACTACAATACTACAGCTAAAAATGTCTCTGTCATTGTCAAACGCTTTTATAATGAGCTCCAAGATGAATTTCCAAACGTTTATAAATAGGCCTACTAAACGTCACTGCATATAAAAGAAATAAAAACTTTAGTAATGTATTGGTTCATGGTAGATTAGAACCCCTTTAATAAACTCCCATAAACAATTGCATTGGAATTTGAGTTAAATATATTTTTTCTTGTAATCTCTCCAGAAGTAATAATCTATGAATAATCTTCAGTAAAACATATTCTGTTTGAATTGAAATAGTTTTCATGTTGAAATCCATAGTCTCTACTTGTCATAGAGGCCAGTGCTTCTATATATAGGAGAGTATGTTCTATAACACCTAGGCCTATAACCAAAGAGTGTGAGGGCCATGTATAGGCCTGCATTTAAGTTTCTTCCCCCATTGATAAAGTTTCAAGTCATAAAATAGGACGGTTAGAATAATATAATAAGATACAATGTCCTTAGTTTATAAGTTATGTAAATATATTAGTTAGTTCACTGCTTTGTTTGTGATGGTAGGTCTAGATATTGGGGGCTTTGAAAAATATATTGGCGTCTTCCATTATTTTTGATTCACAGATTTCAAGGCATGTGAGTTATCTTGACTTGTAAATAAAAAAATAATACAAGTTCAATTACCGGTTTAGTACTAAAATAAAACGGTGCCATGGTTCCTCCGACAGAGTCCGACACTCGAACAAGACATTTTAGACTTGATATTCGCGAATTGAAAAGCACGTTTTTATCACGCAGGCTGCAATAAAAAGTTGGAATGTTTTCATTACGTATGAAGAATTTAAACGAAACAATAAATAAATCATTCTTCAACATCTATCGTATGTCATTTGACAGCAAACGTTTAGCTATCCCACTGTGACGAGTCTATAAATAAAATAGACGTCATTGGCCTAGTCAGGGCCTAGTTTATATCTTTTTTAAATATGTTCGTTGTACAGCGACATCTGTCGTCATGATTCGGCATGTATCTGGAGAAATGTTTCGGAAGATTTGTTATTGAATATTTGTATTTGAACATTTGTTAGTAGAGTTTTGTTTTGCATTTGGAGCTAGATTTGTATTTGTAGATTTGTAGGCCTATTTGAGAATATTTTGGCAAGAATTCTATAAATTCAATAATTTGAAAACCGAATATTTATCGAAGAATGTTCATTTTCAGTACAAATTATGATTTTTGTATACAAATGTCAAATTGCAATGACAAATGTTCAAAAAAAAAGGTACAAACTAAGAGATAAGAATTTAGAATTAAGAGTGAAATAGCAATGAAGAACATTGAATAAAAAGCCATTCCGCCTTCCATAGGTTTTTGTCTGTCATTAGTCTGAGACGTTTGCAATTTTATTTGAATTCAGTGGAGTGAGCCTATGCAGGCTATATACATGCTCAGCTAAGCTTAACCAGTTCTCTCGTCTGCGATGTAGTCTTGTAATGATATATATGTATATTTTCCCGACATTTTATCTATAACGGATACATTGCTTTATTTACTTGCTTAGCGTATATAATCTATGACAACTGTAAATTATGTTAATGACCTTACATTCGTAACTAAATAATTTGATAAAATCCCAGTTTTTAACCTTTTTATAACTGTTCCATTTTTAATAAACACCTATCACCCCTTAATATCGACTATTGACTAGTCCAACAAGTTCACTGTTATAAAACCAAAATTGATGTGGACTGGTGAATTGACATGCCATCCACGTTGGTTCTTTATGAAATTCACTGAAATTGTTGCAATACCTTGCCAACATGTCAGAAAAAGTTATTCAAGTGACTCCAACCTCTATTCAACAGGACAGCTTATTGCCGGGGAAGAATGATAAGGCAAAGACGAATGGAAATTATGTTCACTATGATGCCACAAGAAGTCATACCGCTGCTATCACCGTTGGAAGATCCCACTCCATGGTGGAACAAAAAGCTTCATGTATTACTATAAAAAATATACAATACAGTGTCAATGTTAAAACAAAACCATGTTGTGGTCAAACCACAGAGAAATCCATTTTAAAAAACATCAAGTGAGTATGAATTCATTTACCATAAAGTACATCTTGGACGGTAAGGTTATTTTATAAAATTTACTTAAATAATTATAGCGTCAGTGAGTGAATTATTTTAGATTCACAAAATTATCCTGTATCGTCAACGGCCGAGGATATTCGCCACCGGGGTGGCAAACATTTATTCGCCACCCTCATTTAAAACTTTAATTTCTCTGAAGACTGACATTATTAGCTGTTAAGGCTATAGTGTTACATGCATTATAATGTTTTTTTATATTCATTAGAAACGCTTATTTGCAATTCCTTTCAAGAAAATGTACGAAAATAACACCTACTTATAATTGATAATCGCTGTCCCATTGGATGGTGTTAAGTCAATTTGGCCACCACTTTTTTGAATCACTTCTATGAAATTTAGTCTCATATTTATGTCACCTACAAACCTTGCGTGGCTCTGTTTTTTTTTTTTTTTTTTGAGGCCCGGAAGCGTTTTTTCTCGACATTTTCCGGCGGATTTAAGGATTTTTTATATAGTGTGTAGGAGATCCCACCCTTTGAAGATTTTTAGAATCGGATTCCCAAAAAACGCGAATTCCCGACATTCCCTATTAGTTTAAGAAAGCTGGAGCAAAAGCTGAGGGTGGTAAAAAAGACTTTAGAGTGGTTAACAAGAATTGTCGGTGGTACACAAGAATCGTCAGGGGTAAACAATATGTGAGGGTGGTGAACAAGAGCTGGAAGTGGTAAACAAGAACTGCGGGTGGTGAACAGGAACGGAGGGTGGTAAACTAGACCTACGAGTGGTAAAGAAAGACCGAGGGTGGTAAACAAGAGCTGAGGACAGTAAATAAGATTTTTGGGGTAGTAAACGGGAGCTGGGTTAATGAATAACATCTAGGGTGGTAAAAGAGAGCCAAGAGTGGTTAACAAAATTCGAGAGTGGTTAACAACAACAAGAGCTTCGGCTGGTGAAGAAGAGCTTAAGGTGGTTAACAAAAGTTGAAGTTGGCAAACAAGAATTGTGAGTGGTAAACAAGTATTGGGGTAGTAAACAATAGCTGAGGGTGGTGAACAAGAGCTGGAAGTGGTAAACAAGATCTGCGGGTGGTAAACCGGAACGGAGGGTGGCAAACTAGACCTGCTGGTGGTAAACAAAAACCGAGGGTAGCGAACAGAGCTGAGGGTGGTAAACAAGATTAGGTTGGTAAACAAGAATTGTGGCTGTTAAACTAGACCTACGGGTGGTAAACAACAGCTAGGGTGGTAAAACTAAACCCAGGGTGGTGAACAATAGCTGAGGGTGGTAAACAAGAGCTGGGGATGGTGAACAACAACAACTAAGTAGGTGAACAAGAGCTTAGGGTGACAAACACAAATTGTCGGTGTTACACAAGTATTGTGGGTGGTGAACTAGACCTGGGGGTGGTGAACAACAGCTATGTTAATGAAACAAGAGCTGAGTGTGGTAAACAAGAATTATGAGTGGTAAACAAGTGTTGAGGGTGGTAAACAAGTATCGAGGGTGGTAAACGACAGCTAGGTTAATGAAACAAGAGCTGAGAGTGGTAAACAAGTATTGAGGGTGGTAAACAACAGCTAGGTTAATGAAAAACAACTAGGGTGGTAACAAAGAGTTGGGGTGGTAAACACAAACTAAAGGTGGTATACAAGAAATGATGGTGGTGAACAACAGGTAGGGTGGTGAACAAGAGCTGAGGGTGGTAACCAAGAACCCATGGTGGTGAACAGGAACTAGTGAACAAGAGCTTATGGTGGACAAGAGTTTAGGGTGGTAAATAAGAATTGTGGGTGGTTAACAGGAACAAGAACTGTGAGTGGTTAACAAGAACAAGTATTTTGGATGGTAAACAAGAGCTGGGGTGGTAAACAGGAATTGTTGGTGGTTAACAAGAACTTACTTCCTTCAGCTCTTGTTTACCATCCCCAATTCTTGTTTACCACCCTTACACATTACTTACCACCCGTTAGTATTGTGTATTACCGTACGCCTTATTACCACCCTTGCACATTTACTTACCACCCGTCAGTATGGTTTATTATCGTACGCCTTATTACCACCCTTACACATTACTTACCACCCGTCAGTATTGTGTATTACCGTACGCCTTATTACCACCTTTACAAATTACTTACCACCTGTCAGTTTTGTGTATTACCGTACGCCTTATTACCACCCTTACACATTACTTACCACCCGTCATTATGGTTTATTATCGTACGCCTTATTACCACCCGTACACATTACTTACCTTAAACCTTATTACTTCAAATACATATTTCCACCCACCCCAATGCAGTGTATTTACCACCCACATACATTACTTACACATTCGCGATGGCTCCAACCATGGATTGATATTCTTTGGATTTTTCAACTCGATTTCCCCTTGTCGATGTTTGGGATGGAAAATACGTCTAGGATAAATGTGACACAATTTGGACACGCGCCTGCTTTGTCCTTTTTTTTACCATTTACACATCTTCATCAACCTTTTTTATTACTTACGTAAAGATCCCCCGACAGTTGGAAATCGAAAATAAGAGTAGGCTAATGTCGCTGTCCTGACAAAATTTCACTCATTGCACACTGCATGGCGTTTGCCCATCCTCAGTAGCCTATACAGGTGCAGAAATAGGACGTAAAACTTTATTTTATTTCATTTTTTTTTTCTACGGATTTCTTATACAAACGTATGATGCTAAATTTCATAGCAACACTATCATGACCATTTGAGATGTATGCTAATTTGGTGTAAACAAAATGGCGGAATTTCTACTTTCGTTTCATTGTAAGAAATTCAATTTATATTAACACGATCTTGTCTGAACCTGACATATATGTCACTGAAAGAAACAATTATATCAAAAAGGCTGACATTTCATGAATTTTTAGAGATTTTTTCTGCCACCCGGATGGCGAATAGTCAAATGAATGGACGTGGACTATTCGCCACCCGGGTGGCGAATATCCACGGCCATCGTCAACACCAAATTAAATAGGCTAGTAGATCTACTGATAAAAGTGCTTTATCATATATAAGCTTATTCTTTCAGTTTTATTCAGGGTTAGCCGATTTAAATAAAGTGATTTAAATCATTGATTTGAATAAAAAAAATGGATTATAATACAAATTAATCATTGACTGTATAGTATAATGAACAGAAAGTATTATTATTAGATATTCAGACTAACATATAGGCTTAGTTAGTATAGTCCTACACTAGTTTATCATTGAATAGTTAAATGTACAGTTTCCTAAAAATTTCAGGGGACAGATTTTAAAATATTATAGATCATCAATATACACAGCTCCTAGTCATGTTCTGGATACTTTATCATACCTACTAATATAGCACACAAGGTGCTACTCCTAGTGAGCCCACCTGATGTGCGCGCCTGATAAAGGGGTAATCTTTGCCCAACAGGAGATTGAACCCATGACCTCATGGTTAGCGAGGAAGCACCATACTCTATTAGCCACCATAGGTCCCTTGAACTGATCAGAAAGACTACATAAACAATGATTTTAAATTGAACTAATATTTCAGTTGAATTACAGACACTAGTTTACATCTTTGCCATAACATTATAATGCAGAGGAGCTAATTGACACATTTTGGCTAAAAAATCCAATTTAAATGTAAAAAAAAACTATATATTATTTTGAAAGAAAACTTTATTTAAAGGAGCCAAGTAAGGCTACCGGTTTAGTTAGGAATAAATCCCCATGAAATTTATTCAAACTGTTAGTGCCAGTAAGAACCAAACATTGATTACAAAATTTGCCAATCATTTTTGTATGAATTGAATTATAAATCCAAAATGATGCTGAGAGCCTTCAATTGTTTTTGGGTGGATATGAATGCCAACCAATAAAAAATTTACACTGTGGAGACTTTTAACATTAAACATAGAACACAGTTCTATGCATGAAATGAATCATTATTTCACAATAAATTTAAAATGTAAGATCATTATTATATATTTATGGACCTAAAAACATTATCAGACAAATTGTGACGTGGCAAAAAAATTCAATTCTAACTCTAATGTTGAATTTTTCAGTGGCATATTTCGTCCTGGCATGAATGCCATTCTTGGACCAACAGGCAGTGGAAAATCTTCGTAAGTATTTAGCATCAGTTTGGAAGCATGGGTGGTTTTGTATAGGGCTGAAAGAGGTATTAATGATATACTGTTGACATATGCCCATGCTGTACTGACCATCCTCTGCAGTACATGTTAGTTGAAGATACTCTGTCCAGTGAATATTCAACCACAATAATTTCATTGCCAATGTATATATTGTTTTTTTTTTTATCAATAGTGTGAATTGGAATTAAGTATTAATATATATAGAGGGGGTATTCCTTGCTTCATAATCTTTTTAAAGTAGTACAATTTTCAGTCATATGATTGTGGACAATTTGTAAAAAAAAAAGTTTGTGTCTTGATTGGTAAATGATGGCATCAACAAGAATATATTTTTTTAAACATTAAGGATACTTATAATTTATTATAGAGCTCTTGATGTGTTAGCAGGACGTAAAGATCCAGCTGGGTTAAAAGGTGAACTGTTAATAGATGGAGGTCCACCACCTGATAATTTTAAATGTATGGTTGGCTATGTTGTTCAGGTAATAACAAGCTTAGATCTTCAACAGCATTCTTATCTTCTCATAAGACAATTCATTTTTCCATTGTTGTTTGTCATAATGCAACTTTTAGGGCTATCTTGGTCAGTTGTTGGAGAAAAATCATTAGAGATTTGAATGGACCATGATAACAGATTTTGTTCTATTTGACCAGGATGATGTAGTAATGGGTACACTTACAGTCCGAGAGAATTTTGCCTTTTCTGCCAGTTTACGATTACCAAAAACAGTAACAAAGCAAGAAAGAGATGAACGAATTGATCAAGTCATACAAGAATTAGGATTAAGTGAATGTGCTGACACAAAGGTAAAGATCATTTTTATACGCTGGGCGTATATAGCCGTCGTCTCGTCTCGTCTTCGTCCCCGTCCTCGTTCTCGTCTCGTCCTCGTCTCTATGTCTGTCCACAATGTCCACAATTGTTTGTGGACAGGATACAGAGCTGGTTTCTTGATGGATTTTGATGAAACTTGGTGTAAGTGTTTGTAATCACCCAAGGATGAACCCTATTGAAAATCTGATGAATCGAAAAATATTTACTATGAGTTATTGCCTTTGTTCTTGAATTGTTTGTGGACACGATAGAGAGCTGGTTTCTTGATAGATTTTGTCGAAACTTGGTGTGAGTGTTTGTAATCACCCAAGGATGAACCCTATTGAAAATCAGACGAATTGAAAATTATTTACTATGAGTTATTGCTATGTGGGCGTGTTACAATGACATCGCTAGTTTGTTTCTTTATGAGGATTTTTGTCATTGTCACTAGGATAATAGGTTCAATGCTTTTTGACTGGATTGTAGTGCTGTCCAATGGTAATGGTAATGGTTATTAGATAAAATTCTCATCTAGTCTGTTTTAGATTTTATCTGAATGTGTAATTAATTCATCTCTTATAATATTATTTAAGGTTGGTAATGAATTTATACGTGGTGTGTCTGGTGGAGAGAGAAAACGATGTAATATTGGTATGGAATTAATTATCTCCCCTCCTGTTTTATTTCTTGATGAACCAACTACTGGTCTTGATGCCAGTACAGCTAATGCTGTCATGTTACTACTGAAAAGGTACTGTTATTTCCATTCTTTTTATCATGAAATATTCACTTTGATATTGAAGAAACAGGAACAGAACAGGAGTTCTGGCACAGTTCACATAACTATCTCAGAAAAGAGGCTGGCTCGGAACTTTACATAGTGAAAGAAAGTGTAGTACCCCCAATGGAAAAGTTTGTGGCCCCTCACCTAATGTTTCCTAGAATTGCCACTGTGTAGGATTTGTATATTTCATTTGTTACAATGTTTTATTTCAGATTAGCATTAAAAGGAAGAACAATAATATTTTCTATTCATCAACCACGTTTTTCTATATATAGACTATTTGATAGTTTGATGTTATTATCATCAGGAGAAGTTGTATATCATGGTCCATCTGCTGATGCTCTAGATTACTTTAAATCCATAGGTATATTATTGTGCTATCTACTTTAGGGTATGCCCGCCTTGTCTATGACAATCTGGGTTTGTTAACAGACTGTCCTCTTTAGAGATATCATTTATTTACTTAAAGATGGGTTTACTTATTTTTTAATGTCAAATTCAGCAAACTATTTGATTAATTGGTGTTTCTAATGAAGTATCATGTATTCTTAATCATATCTGTTATATCATTATGTTCTTATTGCTTATGATTAAGAGTTTTAACCAATCATTAAAGTCCATATATGCATAGTCTGGATAAACAAAAAAAGACCTTTTTTGATTGGTCACTCATTGGAATTCTGCTGGCTATTTTCTTCTGATTTAGCTAATTATAAATTAATTATGGATGTGAGACAAACTTGTATTTTTCCAAGTTATTAGAACACCTCTACTTTCTATTCATAAAAGTAATAGCATTTTCATTTTCATGAATAAAAATAAGGGAACCCATTTTTAAGGCTGTAAGACTGTTTAAAGCCTTTGAATGTTGATAATTGTAATCTTTGATAATGTAAATGTCCCTTCCTAAACATTTTTGAAATGTAAGGTTCAAATTAAACTGATATTTGTATGTATGTTGAAAATATTAATTTAATCTTTTGAATTGCTTAGTGAGTTAAATGATTGTCAAAAAACCTTTTCTAAGATGAGTAATGATTTAAAGGGACAGATTTGACCAATCTCACTCTAGTCTCAGAAACAAACTATGAGCCTTCAAGTGTCTCCAGAATTATCCATGTTTGAAAGTTATAAAGACTTGATGTTTTTCCTTGAGACTCTTCCATATATAGAAGTGAAATGAAGACAATAGCTTACTAAACAATAATAATTGTAGGTTATGAATGTGAAGAACATAATAATCCTCCTGATTTTTTCCTGGATATAATCAATGGAGACTCTTCAGCTGTTATTAGTATGGAAGCTTTAGAAGATAGTGCTAAACATGGTAAGCTTTCATCTTGTCTCTTGGCCTTTCTGCTCTTATATGATGGTATTATTGAACGCATATTCAATATATCTTTAATAATATTCCATTATAATTAATGACAATTCCTTCAAAGAACAATGCTTTAAAAAAAAAAAAGTAGTGATGGCAAAATAGGATAAGTAAAACGTAAGAGTGATTTATTATTAAAAGTCATTGAAACAACATAAGAATATGGCCCACATTGTGTTCCATAGATTTTTTTGATCGGAATCTGCAGTTTTATCACAAGACTTTGTTCATTGGACTACATTCCAGCAGACGACATTCGGAATTCCGATTACAGCTTTGGATTATAAGGAAATTTGGCCAATAAAAAAATTGTGATATATGGTAATAGTTGAAATCCGCCATTTTGTATTTGTCAAAGTATACATTAATACTTTTTATACGCCCACATGGAAATGTGGATGTATATTGCTGTCGCCCCTGTCCATCGGTCCGTCCGTTGGTCCGTCTACATTTCTTGTAGGTGCGATAGAGGCTACAGTTATTAAACAATCTTGATGAAACTTGGTATGCATGTATGTATTCATGAGACCTCGGTCAAGTTTGAAATTGGTAATGATCAGATGAACGGTTCCATAGTCATTGCCCTTGGCTTAAAAAGAAACGCGTCAAATTTGGCTTGTAGGCACGATAGAGACTACAGTTTTTATCTGATCTTGATGAAACTTGGTATGCATGTATATATTGATGAGATTTCAGTTAAGTTCGAAATTAGTAATAATCGGGTGAACAATTTGAGAGTTATTGCCCTTGACTTATTAAAAATGTGTCAAATTTGGCTTGTAGGCACGATAGAGACTACAGGTTTTATCCAATCTTGATGAAACTTGGTATGTATGTATGTATTGATGGGATCTCGGTCATGTTCGAAAGTGGTATTATCGGATGAATCGTTTCAGAGGTATTGCCCTTGACTTTGATAAAAATTAGATGAACAGTCTCAGAGTTGTTGTCCTTGTGTGTACAGCGATGAGACTTTGTTTGAATTTGATGATAATTTGATGAACTGTTTAAGGTTTTTGCCTTGAATTATAGATGATTTTAAGATTACTTGAAAATTCATTATTAAGCCACCAGGGATTTTGTGATCATTTCTGACAGCTAGTAGTGGGCGTTTGTTACTTTGCCTGGCAAGCTATCTTTACCTTGCTTGAAACTACTGGATTCATTTCACTAGCTGACATTGTACAAATAACCCATGTTTATCTAAACAAGCAAATGCGGAGGTCATGCGTGCCTTTCCAGAGATGCACGAAAAATATTTTAGCACGAAATTAGGTATTACTGTTAGCTTTTGAATCAACATATCAATGGACAGTCAAATACAGACTTTACAAAATATTACTATGACCTGGAAAACATTTGGTTAAAATATGACCAATAAAAGGAAAATTGGATGAACTAACCTTCAATGACCACTTCTTATATATTCTTTTAGAATCATCAGGAGATATGTTAGATAAAATGAAAAGTGAAAATGGTAAGTGTTCCATTGCTCAACTATAAATGACATATAATAATTAGATTAAATAGAATAGAAATTAATGAATCTGAAGTCTGAATGAATGAAGAGATTGACTGCCTGCATTTCTTAGCTTCTTATCATACATCAATTTTATGCCAGTAATAAATGCCTTGCCTTCTTTCATTAGCTTGAAAAATTGATTCCAAAAAAAAACAGAGTTGACTTTTTCTGAAATTTGAGTGCCTGTATCACCATAATTCTAATACCTAATACCTATTGATTTATGAGTAGTATATGTCTTTTCAGATATGACGCATTTCACTTCTGCGCATGCGCAGCTTTTTCATGCGTCATATCCGAAAAGACCCAACTGTTAAAATGTATTATAACAGACTCCCCAAACTGTTAAAATGTATTATAACAGACTCTTCAAACTGTATTATAACAGACTCCATATAAATTACCCAACCACACAAGATTCACTAAAATAATACAGTATAAAATAACCGCATTCAAAAATAATATGTCTTTAATTTTAAAACACAAACAAAAAAAATTCGAAGGAAACGGTTTCTTCTCTGCGCTAACATCTTTCATCCCCAAAGTGGCCAACTTTGTCTCAAACAACAAATCCCTCATTTCCTCAGGAGCGCAAGCTCTTGGATCTGTGGCAAAAGCAGGAGTAAATATAAGCGATGCAGTGAAAAAATCTGACGAACTTAAAGAACTGCAGGTAATAAGAGAACTAAGAAACAAGAGACTAGAACGACAAGCCCTAGAAAAACAAGGAAAAGGGTTTAAAATCATTGGATAAAAATGGCAAGCAAAAATTACAGATTGGATCCAATCTTTCAATTGTATGATCCGATTCAATATTCGTTCAACAAGAAGAAAGAGAATTACATAATCATCTCACCATCGGTAGGGGCAAAGACACAAATAAACGACGGAGGAAGAGTTACCTTTGAAATTAATTCGTTGGTTGCTGCTTTCAGATGCCCATTTCCGATGCGATTTCAAAATCAAAGACGCCACTCAGAATCTAATTCCACAAACCAACACGACTTTAGAAAACAACTTCTTTCCGTCTTTATTCAGGGAAATGGTTTTGGAAGCTGGTTCAAATCCGATAAAGACCATAAAACACCCCGGCGAGTTTGACACAATGTTGAAAACGGTTATGTATCCCAAAAACTACGATTCAGTTTCGGGATGGATTCCCGATGTCGGTGTTGGAGAAGTTTTAAAAGAACCGGTCAGAACTGTAGCAAATGATGCAGACCTTGCTAGGATAAGGGTAGTTGCTAGAAACACACTGGAAAGAGTGACTCGCGGAGTAAATCACGGATTTGAAAAACGAGCGCTTCAATACAACAATATTCACATCGATAAAACACAAGGAGATGTAACTGTTTATTGCTGGAAGAAGCAAAACATTTGATTAAAATATCAGATAGAAAAATGATAAGAATTGAATAAAAAAACACCCTTTAAAAATGAAACCAGAAACTTTAGTTCTGAAAATAATAGAAGCTATGGAAACGAATTCGCCGACTCTAATAACTTACAACGGTAAAAAAGTGCATATAACCCAAAAGATTATCTATAAATACAAACATTGCAAAGTCAGAGACGATATAGACTTGGAAAGAATTGATCAGAATTTAACTAAAAAAGGTGGATTTTTACCTTTCTTACCTTTAATCTTTGCTGGTTTAGCTGCAGCAGGAGCAACTGCTGGTGGGGCTGCTGGGATAGCCAAAGCTGTCAACGATAACAAAGCTGAAGCTGTTGCAAACGCCGAAGCACGTAGACACAATTTGGCAATGGAAAGAGAAGCACGAGGAGGTTCAGGAGTAGGAGATATTTTAGGGACGGTCAAAGAATTCGGACAAAGATTTGGCGAAGAAACCAAGAAAACCGTAAAGAGGGATTAAGCAAATTAATAGATAATGTCGACACCGGAGAAATAAAAGTCAAACACAAGGGCAACGCCATATTTTTTAAAAACATACGTTCGGGCGAGGGAATCTTTCTTTCAAAATATTAAGGCAACGGGGTGATTTTTTCCACGGTTGTGGAAAGACTTACCTCACTTTTAACATGTTGACAACACCGAATCTTTTAGATTTCGAGTCTCTGTATATTTACACAACTACTCCCGAACAATCCTATTATCAGTTTCTCAAACCTTTGGAATACATCTCGAAAGAAGAAGTTCAAGACATTTTTCACTACTACGAAAGCAACGAAGACTTGCAAGAGAACGCGGAAATAAAAGACATTTTAGACGGCTTTATCAAAGAAAAGAATCCTTCTCTGAAACCGACCGACGTCAAAGTGTTTCTGACTAAAAACGTCAACGATTTAGACTTGTCTAAAATCGACAACCACCGTAAGAACTTGATTGTCTTTGACGACTGCGTGGCACAAAAAAGTCAAACCGTTCAACAAGAATTCTTCACGAAAGGAAGACATCACAACTGTCACTGCATATACCAATCACAATCTTTCTATGGAATGGACGCCATGTTTATCAGAAAGAACGCAAATTGTTTTTTATTATTCGAATTAAACGACAAAGATTTATCTCAAATCATTCAGTCGATAAATTACGGAATGGACAGAGACATGTTTAAAAAGGTTTGTAAAGCTCAATGGAGAAACCCGGATGATCATGAATATGTATTTGTTAATACATTGTTAAAACATATGTTAATTTTATTTTTTTTAAAATGACGGATTGGAATAATTTTTTAAAAAGAAATAGAGAATATATCAAAGCTAAGAATAAAATAAAGACCCAAGTTGAAAATAACAGATTACAACAACTCGGATTAACGGAAAATCTACAGACTCTATTTCAACCCATATTAAAAACTCAAGAAAATATTAAAAAGAGACTCGCTATAGAACCTTCACCCCATAAAGATCCACCGATTGAATATGGTGGTATTAAGACATTAGACGATATAAACGATATAAAACGTCTTTTTTCAAACCCTGACCCAGATTTACCAAAGAGCATTTCACCAATCATTGATGAAGTGGGGTTATTGTGTAATGGTTTTAGAATAAGATTTAGTGGAAATTCACCACAATTCAAAATTGACACAAAAGACTTTATATTTACATTAACGAGAGGATTAATAGATTTAATGAATGGCGAGGATGTTGAAATTGCCGATTACAAGGATTTAGTAGCATACTTAAAATTTCTACATGCGATCAGAAAGTCGGGACCCGAAACAAGAAGATTGTAAGAAGTTGATTTATATATAACAAAAGTTATTGAGCAAGATGAAGAGGAGGTAGATGATTATGCAGAAGATTATCCAATCATACAAGAAATAGACGAATTCGATGATATGGTGGCATCTGGACAAGGTATAACTTTTTTATCCGACAACAACGAGGAACTAGTTAATAGATTACGAGTAATATTAGCGGCCATGAAGGAAGGTCATCGATCGGACAGACAATACAACGAAGTCAATGGCATATTAAAACGACTTTTGGAGAAAAAAATCATCACTAAAATAGACTGTATAAACGTCATTAAAAATGTCCAATAAAGAGCAATTGTTCGTTATCACCTCGAATAAATCAGACATTAAATTGTCTCTAGACTACGAGTATGAACTCGATCGCAATAAACAGTTCGAACTGGGATTAAAGTATTTCTCTGTTTACAATTCCATTAGAAATATCAACGAAAACAACAATCAACTAAAAATATCGACGGATAACGGAGTTACGTTCAAAACCATAAGCTTACTACCGGGAAGCTACGAATACGTAGCCATCAACGATTACCTATACGAATACGCAGGAAGCGTGAACTGTAAAAACAATATCGAATTCGAAGGTAATTTGAATCTGAACAAAATAAAACTGATCTTGAGAAATAACAGTCAAGTCGATTTCAACGTAGAAAATTCGTTGAATGCGTTTCTAGGGTTCGATAAACTAATATACGCGCAATCGACATTGGCGCTGCACAAGGCCAACATCGAGAACGACATCGACGTGATCAACATTCACTGTAATTTGATTTGATCAACGGTGGATTTTTCAACAAGCACAAACGCCAAATCATATACAGCATACCGACTTTTACGGTGCCGATCTGATACAGAATTATAGAGAAACCGTTTCAAATGACCTATTTACCAGTCAATTCTTAGATATAAATCTGGAAATCAAAGACGGTAAAAACAGGTTCATAGACTTTGGCAACGAAGTAATTGTCATTCAACTTCATTTAAAACAATCTTCATTCTCTTCTTGAATAGTAAGATAATCTAAATCATCAAATTCATAGTTTTCATTAAAACTATACTCATCTTTGTCGTTGTAAGGATACATAATTCCTTCACTGTTTGGTGGTTTTCTTTTAACATTATTCAAATAACTTCTAAAAACTTTAGTTTGTTTATTATTTGGAATAACTTGCTAACTGAACGTAATCTTCTACACTTATCTTATCATTAGAATAACCTTTAAACGTTTTCTTTTCTTTTAAAACACCATCGGAAGTCAAAATGATGTTGTATTTGACTTTTGGTGCTAAATATAAACCAAATATAATTCCACCATCACCGTAATCGTTTTTACCTTTGCAATAGTCTTTTTCGGAGACCAAACCAGCTCTGTTTAGTTTTTTCCAATTGTTGGATGAAATGTACAAACTACGGTGTCGGTATAGTATATTTCGGGTTTATAAAATCCATTTATGACGTGAATGAAATTGTTCATTATTTTTTTACTGTGAGATAAAACGAATGATCCCAAATGACTAGGTGTTAGTTGTGTAGATTTACTATCTTCGGTCTCTTTTTCTTCAATTTCTGTTTCAACAATATATTGAGTATCATTAATTTTCTCATAGGTTTTAACACGTGAATCAAAGTTAGCCTGTAAAGTTGCTTCATTCCATAAATGTCTAGTTGTGAATATATCTTTTTGAATTGATTTACCATACAAGGAATTACCTAATAATTTCATGCAATTACTACCCACGATATTACCTTCTCGTTTATATTTATTTCTTAGATCTCTCAAAATTAAAATATAATCTCTAGGGTGGAGTTTTAAAATTTTTTTCGTATACTATACCATCTAATATTCTTATAATTCGTCCACCGGCTTTATCTATTTCTTGAATATCGACCGATGTTAAAACGTCGTGACAGAAACCATTTCTGAACCTGATTTTGTTACCCGTTTCCTTTTTACCTTCTTTATTCGTGAAAGTGATTTTATCTTTAGCTGGTATCGGTTGGAAGAACATGTTTTTGGGATAGTCAAACCACACTGTTAAAATAGCTGTTCTAGGTCTGAATTTTTGTTTATTGAAGAGTTTTACAAATTCTTTTTCTTCTTCTGGTAGAAACGGTCTTCCACTTTCTGCTCTCGGATATTCACTGTCTAAATCCGACATGGCGGAAGCGTATCAACCGTTAGCATCAAATGCCATTAGTTTAGTACAGTTTATTTTTTTAAGTCTTGAATAAATCAATTATGTTATTACTTTCTGTGTCACTTCGTATTTCACTTTGTGAAATATATTCCTTTAATACGTTACAAATTTCGTCCATTTTTTTCGTTTCAAATGATTTTCTATTTGCCGAAACTCTTCCTCCTTTAATAGATCGTCTGATAAAATTTCTTATAAAAGGATTAGTGTGCGAATAAACTTTTTCTTTTTCGGTATGTTTTGGAACCATTCTAGTAGTTTCATACCATTCTTCTTCAACCATTTCTTTATCGTAATGATACAAATAATACCAACCCTTTAAAGATAAAGATGGAGCCGTTAGATTATTGGATATATTCTGGTTTACAACTTCTTTCATGACTTGGTTATATTTTATCAAACAAGCTCCAAGACATAGGGTATCCCTTTTTGCATATGGTTCCCATTCGTCTCTCAATTCCTCCCAGTTGTCTTGGGTGTATTTAGCGATATCTACGTCGGCAATCTTTCTCAAATTCGCGGAAAGATTGGACGAATTTCCCCATGCAGCCAAACTAGATTTTTCATGTTGGTAGGAACATGTGAAACTGATATTTTGCAAATAGTTTTTATCGCTCGTTATTTTTTTCTGTCTTTTCCAGTTTTTCTGTAAATCTTTATCGGTGAAAGGATTAGACATAGGTAAAGACAAAATACCCCTCTGCGTTATCAGTGGACACTTTGACAACTTTGACGTGTTTTTAAGCACGATCCAGTTGTCGAATCCACTGCTGTTGTGAGAAATTAATATTAATCTCTTTCTATCATATTGACCTAAATATTTCAACATTTGATCTATGCAGTCCAGACCCACAAATGTTTCAATGGTCATTAGTTTGTCGTAATTTGGAATATCATCTGTTGGACGTTTTATTCTGTCCAACATTTTTCTTAGTTTTTCCAAATTGACCAAAGTGCAACAATACGGAATTGCTCTTCGCGTTTCTTTTTCTGAATAGTTTCGCAATCCCAAGCGAATAACGCATCATCACTCATACTTGAAAACACGTTTAGTTTGAGAGGTGAAACCTGTGTTGCTCGTCCCTACACGTTTTCCACACCTGTTCGTAATTGTCTTCTATTTCTTGAATTCCCAAACTTTTTTGGCTTCTTCTAATCAGACAGAAATGCGAGTTGTGTAAGTAAAAAACCCAATCTAATTCATCGTGAACGTCTCTGGGATGTAAATGTCTGTTTTTGGGATTATAAATTTGAAAAGAAGTGTTAAATTTCTTGTTGAATTCCTTCATTCTAGCACAAGTCATTACTCCTTTTGTATTTGCTTTTGAAAACCAGTTGATGTATTCTTGAAATTTATACTTTAAATCTTTGTTCAAATCTTTGACGCATTTGATAAAACAGTGACCATCTGTAGGTATGTAACAATTTTCACCTTCGTATTCATTTATCTTTTTAAGTAGATCAGTTCCTCCTCTACCAACTCACGATCTTTTGATTTCTTGGAAATTGTCTTTCATTAAAATTATTTTTCCTGTAAAATACCAATCGGAAGCATTAGATTTTTTGTCCATATTCGAAAAGATATTGTGAAAAGTTTTGGCATTGAAACCGAGGAGTGACATGTATTGTCTGTGATTCCCTTCCTCGTCTATCTCTCCATCTATTTTAATTTGTCCTTGGAATGTTTTAAATTTATCAGAGATAGCCTTGATAACATCGGAAAATAGGACGTTTTCTATCAATGTTTCATGTGTTCGATTTTATTCATATTTTTTTAAGTATATATTTTTTATTTTTTTATTTTGCGCTGATATTTCTGTATGGAATTTGTCCAGAATTTCATTGAATTCTTTTAATTCTTCAACTGTTATGTTCTTGTATTCTCTCGATCTTTCGAAAAAAATGTACAATTGATTAAGATACATATTCAAGATATCCGTTTTCTTTTTATAATGAGCTTTCTTTTTGCTTGTGAAACCTAAAGTGATGAGACCGCAAGAGGTCGTTTGAACGCTGTTAATGCAGCCAATACGGTTGGGACGATGACCGGAAGCATTAATCCACCAGTCACGGTCGTTGCCACCATTACTCCTACCATTAGAACTGTGCTCGCTGTTTTGAAAAAAGAATCGATTCTACTCCATGTTTTCCTGCATGTATTGCACTGTCTTAACTTTATTTTCAACTCTTCTTGTTTGTCTATCATGTAATGTTGTCTGCTTTCGAGTTCCATTTTTAAAGTCGTTAAATTAAGTGAATTTCCGATAATCCAAACCCTTCGAGAAACCTAACATTATTATATTTTTGGATATTCAAAATAAAAACATTTACGCGTACTAACGACATTTCTTGTTTTGTATGGTCCTCATTAAGATGATAGGAATATTTTCTTTTTTCTTTTTCAATGTTTATCTTGGCTCTACAAATATAACCACCACCTTTAAGCTCGAAGTCTTCGCCAAACGATAAAAATACTATAAACTCTCTTTCTTGTTGACTTTTATGAACA